CTAGTTCTTGACTAACAGCGAAACACCGTCTCATTGACAGACTTCATTCCTGATGACTCCAGAATGGAATTTATCTGATTTTAAAGAATTAGAATTAAAAAATTACAAATGAAAATATTAAAAACAATTAAGGTATAATTAAAATTTATTTGAATTACTTTCTTTACCAAATATTTCTTGCCTATTTCTAGGTGTTTATTACGCAGCAGGGAATACTGCATGTAAATGCAGGTGCACGTGTTTGTGCACATGCATTTTAGCTGCACATTTGTTACTGTGTGACTGATGCTGTTTTTGTTCTGCAGATGCATTTTTCATTGTGCAGCAGATGCACTTAAAAAAACAAAACAAAAAGAAAAAAAATTAAGTCAATTTTTTTTTTTTTAATTTATTTATTTTTTATTTTTTTTTATTTTTGGAGTTTTTATTTATTTATCGCCTTCTCCACCGCAACCCCCACCTGGCAAATCAATAATACATAGAAAAAATATTGATGAGGTATTTTTTTACTTCTAAAGAACTCTCAAAAAAAAAAAAAAATGAAATCCAGTCTTGAAAGGACTCAATTGGCTTTTCCTTGTCTGTATCGAACACTAACACTTGCTTTGCTCGCTGCTCCAAGATCATTGAATATTTGCCTCATTTCATATTACAATTGCATCTTTTTTAAGACCATGGTAAAAAAAGCATGTGCAGGAAGATCATAATGATAAGCTCAGATGTTCATAACAATCTAATATTGTTTTAAATTTGTAGATATTTAAAGTTTTTGATATCCAACTGGGAAAAGATCAGGATAATTTTTAAAAAATATTTTTTTTTTTTTTCTCAGAGCGGCTATGTTAATGATTTAAGACTTGAAGCAGTCAAATGTAAATAAAAAAAAAAATTACAGCTGAAACATATTTTGGATATTAGGAATAATTCTTTTTGTAAATGAATGTTATACAGGGTGCGACAGAAATACCTCCGACATATACTTTCCACGTAATGGTAAGACATTAATAGCAATGGTGTCTTCATCTAGCTAATGTCTTACCATTATGTGGGAGGTATATCTGCTGTACCCTGTATTAACATAATGATTTTTCCAGATTACAAGTCCTATTTAACCCATTGTTGGTGGAAGGAAAATTGGATTTATACCATTCTTGTAAATAGTGTTTAATAATTTGTTGTAAATTTTCAAAAACAAAGAAATTATATAAATTCACTTTCATATGTTTAGGTTTTATTAAAATGCTAATCATCACTTTTTAAAACAATAAATATTGCTGAGGAGTGATGGTAGTTAAAATAATAGTGGTGTCTTTTTTTTTTTTTTTTTTTTTTAGACATGAAGACCAAGATTCCCTTTCTTTTTATTCCTATGAATGTTAAATTTATTTATTTTATTATTTATTTTATTTTATTATTTATTTATTTTTTTTGTGGGGGTAAGGAGGTACGAATGTTAAATTTGTTTGGAGTATGTATTAATGTTAAATTTATTTGGGTGGGTGTGTGTTTTTTGTGGTAGGTGTGAATATTAAATTTTTTTGTTGGGGGGTATGATTTTTTTTTTTTTTTTTTTTTTTTTTGTGGTTATTGATGTAAAAAGTTTACTTTTGGAGTGTTGTGGGTGTATGAATATTTTTTTTGTTTTGTTTTTTGGTGGGTATGAATGTTAAATTTATTTTTGTGGGTGTATGACTAAAATGTTTTGCAGGGTGTGGTATCAATGTTAAATTTTGCTGGTGGGCATCAAGGTTAATTTTTTTTTTGGCACTTTTTGCCAAAAATTCTGTTTCCTTTAAGAGATGTTAATTTTTTTTTTTTTTTTTTTTTTTTAAGAAGTGTCTTTGAGTTGTCTTATTGGAATCAACATAAACCGTTTTTAAGCATTTAAAAAGATTTTCACAATATGAGGCCTGATAAATATTTTTTTTTTTTTTTTTTTTTAACCCGAATTAGAACTATTAAAACAATTTTCCCTTTATTTCCATATGTATGTTTCTGTTCTTTTTTCTTGTTTTTTTTTTCTTAAATAGACTCTATTTTTCTTGAAAGCTTGTCTTTACATCTGATTCTATTTATGTTATCATATTGATTTCAGCTTCCGTTTCTCTGGGCACATGTTTTGTTCGGTGAAATGGTATTTCTTTAAAGCCATGGGAGGTAGACTGTTCAGACATTTGCATATTTCTTGGATTTTCTCTTTTATTCCCCCTGAAAATAGCCTATTCAAATTCAACACAACTCCACATCATGTTGAAAACACGATCACCAAAGTTAAGCGACATTAAGCCTGATCATTACCTAGATGAGTAACTGTTGCGAAATGCCAGATGCTATAAGCTTATATATGCACATGCTGTACTGGATAATGGCTCGGAATTGTTAATTGCAGGGCTGAGTTCCAGTTCCCATTAGGTTCGTTGGGAAAGGTATGAATCCACATCTACTCCAGCTATGGGTTAATTAGTAAGACTTGTATAAATAAAATGTTATCTCAAAAAAAAAAAAAAATAATCTTATAATCTGAAACTATTTTCTGGCTTTAAATAACCTGCAAAAAGTTGATAACCCATTAAAAAAAAAAAAATGAATCGATCAGTCTACACAACCTCAGGCTTTATCTTGCACATGCTAAAAATGAGTAAGAAGACTGTTTAGCACCAGTCTCAGAAGATAAGAACTGTTTGGAACAATTATTCAAAGTTTTGGTTAGAAATGTAGATTTATATCAGTTTGCTTTGTATTGGAGTATTATCCTAGTCCTGCCATGTCTCTTCAAGATGTGAGCAATCATAGCTCTCCACAACTTCCTATCCTTTGGAGCTCTGAGCAATGGCAGTATCCTTACCCTCCATCCCAGTCCCTGTTCTGTCATTTATTTCCATAAGCTCCTTAAATTCACTGTTTCTTTCTGCTCCTCTCACCATCCCTGTGAATGTTAAATTCTCAGTGCCTCCTTTCCTTGTGTGTCCCTGACATCACACACTGGCAATGATTCTAATACATTATTTTGCCTCCACTGTCATCTCCATGATACAAAACATGAGAATGTAACCATTAAAAACACAGGTGGAGTTTCACTAAAATAGTTCCAAAATGTTTTAGTACCGATGTAGAAAAATGCAAGATATGATGGTACCCTGAAATTTCTTCAAAAGTACAATGGTATTCATGACCTCTTGGAATTTTATATCCTGCGTCTGACCCTATATAGGGGTTAGTCATCCATGATTTAGGCTGATCACCAATGCCCCATCAGCTGTTGCGACATTGAAATCTGTTTTTTAATCTTGATTACAAAGAACATTAACACAGTTCCATTTCAGTTGAAAATCATTAACGGGGCTTCGGTCATTTGAGTGCCATATGTGATACATACTTGAGTGATAATGTATCTTGTGATTCATGACTGACTTAGCAGAGGCTTTTCCTGCAGTAGGTTACAAATTCTTTTGTGGTAGACTGGTTGCCAGCCAAGGCTATAGGACTCGGTCTGTCCTGCTATTCAACCATGATAATAAGTTAGTCAGTTACTTCTCGTTCTTCATTATGTGTCCCAGAAATTTTGTTTCTTTCCGATTACAATTTTAAGGGTTTTTGTTCTTCCTTGAAACGTTCACGTTTCTTAAATGCTCTGTTCTTAGTATTCATTAGTAGAATGACATTCTATATCTCGTTCCAAGTCTCTTTTTCACCTGTGAAGTGATTGCCCAATGTTCACTGCTGTATAGGAGATTAGATATTGCATAACACTCATTCATTCTTTTCTTTGTTCCTTAGAAAATTTTTTTTTTTCTATCTCTTGGTACTTTTTAGTCATCCATGATTTAGGCTGATCACCAATGCCCCATCAGCTGTTGCGACATTGAAATCTATTTTTTAATCTTCCTCTTGATTACAAAGAACCTTAACACAGTTCCATTTCAGTTGAAAATCATTAACGGGGCTTCGGTCACTTGAGTGCCATATGTGATACATACTTGAGTGATAATGTCTCTTGTGATTCATGACTGACTTAGCAGAGGCTTTTCCTGCAGTAGGTTACGAATTCTTTTGTGGTAGACTGGTTGCCAGCCAAGGCTATAGGACTTTGAAATTGTCAGAACATCTGTATCATTTCAAGTCTCTTTTCCATTTGTGTGGAGACTGCCCGACGTCGGCTGGGAGACTGCCCGACGTCAGCTGGCGTGTGGGAGACTGCCCGACGTTGGCTGGCGTGTGGGAGACTACCCAACATTTACTGCTACAGAGGAGATTAGAAAATTGCATAGAAATCGAACACTTTTTTCTTTATTTCTAACAATGTTTTACTGTCGCTTAATACTTTGCAGTCATTAACTACAACACTTTTCTTCATCTATAATGAAATTGCTCAATGTTTGCTGCCATATTGGTCTAATCTCCTATCTTACATAAGTCCTGTCTTCTGTTATGTTTCTAATAACATTTTCTTACCACTTAAAGATTTATATACAAGTGTATGTATATATGTATGTATATATATATATATCTCTCAGAGGGGAAAAAAACAGTCAATCACATTTAGTAAGCTATTGTTGGATTGGTGCTTTTATTTTTCTTAATTTTTAATTTTGCAAATTGTCTTTGTTGGTTCCAGCTAACTGGGAATTACTGCTAAAAACATCCGTCTACTGAAATTTATAGACAAATCATGCAAATGCAGGCTGGGATTTTTTACTAAACAATAAAAATAAACCATTTCTCTGTCTAATCTGTCATATTTTTGTTCTTTCTTGTCTTGAAGCCAGAATCACATGACTGTATCCCTTTTAGATGTGAACACAATTCTTTATAAACATTTTGCCTAATTATTGTTGCTTTACCTGGTATATGTATTGTTTGCTTAGTATTATTTCGCCCTGTTCATTTTCTTCTTTTTCTTATTGTTTAATGAGAACTTTGCTTTTAAAGAATTTTGTCAATTACATTTAGCTGTGGCCAATTACTCCACAGTCTGTAATCTTGTAAAATTTCTCTTTTAGGTGCTGTATGCAAACACTGCAAAAAACAGGAATCAGAAATTTACCAAAAAGAAATTTGTCACTTGTCTGCCCTTGAGGAGAGATTTTCTCGTCTCTGGACCCAGTGCCAAAGATGCCAAGGCAGTTTGCATGAAGATGTCCTCTGCACAAGGTAGATTTTTTTTTTTTTTATATATTTACACCAATCTATTGTCAGTGACTTTCTCTAGTTTGTACTTTACCTTCCTACTCCCCCACACACACTGAGTCAGGTTGTGACACAAGGTCAGTTTTTAACATGGGTATATAGTATTTTAATTAATTTTTTTTTTTTGTTTTTTTTTTTTTTTTACAAAATTTTAATATAGCTTAAAACCAGATTTAATAGAGTATTGGAGGTAAATAATATCGTGTTATGTTGGGTTGACACAGATAATGGATAGAAGAATGGTTTATTCTCCCCTTTGTGTTTCCCCCCATTATGGTCATTATTGTATCTATGAAATGTCAACACCTAATTTCATGGATGGAATAGAGTAGCTAAAAAAAAAAAAAAGAGTGACAATGTTATACTAGAACATACCTATTCTATTGTAAATATACTCTCCCACATATAATAAGTAGTAGTAGCAGTCGCCAGCGGGCTCAGAGTGAGTTGGTGAGTCAGTCGATGTCGGACATTAAAGTATCAACCACCACAACTAGATTGCTGCGTCATTAACTATTATTTCAAGTTCCTAACGTTTTGTATGTCGAACCATTTTTTAGGACCGACTCGGTGAAAATACAAGCCTCCACTGTGAAAACTACTCTACAACAGACACACATGCTTTGTTCTCGGAAAGTTTTATGATAATAAGCCATACACTAAATTATATATACGTATTTATCTGTATCCCACACAGTGAAACTATATCACATGTCTACAACAAGAAGCTGTGTGTGTAAAAGAAATAAAAACAAAAAAGTCTTACTTGCAGTAGTTCCCTAAGGGAAAACTGGTCTGAACCTGGTGTAGCTATGTGATTTTTTTTCCTGTAAGACTTTAACACTGTGAGCTCAGAACATCCTTCTTCTCAAGGCTTTACATCACAACTGCTTTTTGTCACTATCCGTTGACATGACTCTAGCAGTCATGTAACCTTCGTGACGTTATCTCAATGGAAGAGAGATAATTGCCTTTTGTATCCCTACAAGAGAAAAACAAAAAAAAACATATTTACCATCAAAGGGGGTAAATTGAAACTGGTAATACAAAAAAAAATGCTAACTGTTTGTATTTCTTCACTCTTCAGAGCTTTAATCAAGAAATAAGAGGTATGCACAAAAATTTTCTTTTCTGCATGGTCCATGGAGAAATTAGATAAAGTTGGGTTAAGAGGTGAGCCCATAGTTTTTTTTGTTTTTTTTTTAACTTTACCGTTCACTCATTATAGGCCCCAACAATATAAGGGGTTACTGAATGGAGTTGTTTAGTGAATGTAAGATAAGGTTGTTCCAGAAATCATACCAATTTTAGAATAACAAAAATATATGACTCATTCTTAATGATTAAAGGGTCCTCTTTGTTAATCACTTTCAGAATGTTGTTCTCAAATATGTGATGCACCCCGTGTATAGACTGGAAAATAGTATTTGTTTGGAAAATAATGTTCGATTTTAGAATAAACATTTTAAATGCATTCTAATATATTATTATAATAGCTGCACAAAAATATATTACCTTTTCTTAATGATTAAAGTGTTCTTTTCGTTAATTTTATATCAATCCCTTTCAGAATGTTCTCAAATACGTGACGCACCCTGTGTATAGACTGGAAAATAGTATTAGATTGTTCGGAAAATAATGTCCGATTTTAGAATAAACTTTTTAATTGTATTCTCATATATTATTATAATAGTTGCACAAAAAATACATTACTTATTCTTAATGATTAAAGTCTTCTTTTGGTTAAGTCGCTTTCAGAAATTAACTTAAAACATTGTATCCTCTTCATCTTGAACACGTAAAAAGAAGAGATGCGTTTATTTTATTTTTTTTCTTCACAAGTTCACGCTTATCTACCATGAATTCAATTGTGAAAGCAGAATAACATATATCATATTTTATCATTTTTTATTATTTTTATTTCCAAGCTCCCAATTAAATTTCATCATAAGGAATTGATATGCCATTAAAAAAAATCAAATCAAACCCCCAGCCAACTTTGATCTTCAGAAATTCAAATGCAACGTCAATTGATATCTCTGCAGATAATGTCACTTTTTCTGGACACACTTCTGAAGAAAAAAGAAAGTCAATTCAAACCTTGCTGTTGATCTCCTGTCTGTCTTAGCTGTAACATTTTTGTCACAAATCAATTCTCATGATATTTGAACTAGTCTCATGATTGAAAAATAAATGCCCCTTATCCATACACACCCTTGTTTGAATGATGGAAATGTTCACCTGGCAATATGTAGCTTTTATTGATTAGAAATTTCATACAAATTGTCTCCAACTCAATGGGGCCCATTCTTTTGTTCTTTTCATGACTTCTTTCCATATTGTTCTTAGTCTTGAAGTCTTATTGTTCTTGAAAGGTCACATATTTTGCTTAATAAAGCAAGCATCATTTACAGTTTAGCTGAGTGTCTTGAGTGTTATTGGAAATGGTATAAATAATATTAGTATCATATTCAGAAGAATCATCTTGGCACTCGAGGTCCTTCCAACTATACTTGCTCATTGTCTTAAATTTTGATATTCATTGTTATCGTCCCTGTGATCTTGCAAGAAACTGCTTGTAAAATAGGAATTTCTAAAATTTGTTTCCTCTTTTCTTTTCATTTCTTTTTCCTTTCCATTTTCTTTTTTCCTTCCTTTTTCTTTTTGTTACTTTTTTCCTTCCTTTTTCTTTTTGTTTCCTTCCTTTTTCTTTTTGTTTCCTTCCTTTTTTTTTTTTTGTTTCCTTCCTTTTTCTTTTCGTTTCTTTCCTTTTTCGTTTCGTTTCCTTCTTTTTTCTTTTCATTACTTTTTCATTCCTTTTTGTTTCTCTTTTTTCATTCCTTTTTTCTTTTCGTTCTTCATTTTCTTCCTCTTCATCTGTTCTTGTTCTCGTTTGTTCCTTTTTACATTCTTTTTCTTTCTTTTTCATTTCTTTCTTTCTTTTCCTTCTTGTTCATATCTTTTCTTCCATCCCTCTTTTTCCTTCATTTCTGGTTCTTTTCCTTTTGTTTTTTTCCTTCTTTCATATTTTTCCTTTTTCGTTTACCCCTAATCTTTTTTTTATTTCTTGTTCTACTTTTCCTTTATTTCTTTCCCTCTTCCTCATCCATAACTTTTTTCCACTTTCTACTATTTTTTTCTTTTTTAAATTCATTATGGATCGGTCAGTGTCCTGATCAGTATGACTGCTTGGCTCAATATGCAATTGCCCATATGAAATGGGCTGTATTTCAGAAAGAGGAAAAAGAAAAAAAATCTTCTAACGAGCTCATAGATCATGTGATCATAGATTGATGTAAAACGGGTCAACATGTGCCGAATGCAAAGATCCGATAATTAAGTTGTTCTTCAAAGATTTTAACCAGGTCAGCACTTTCCTATTTTCAATAGTCTCATTAATCATTTTAAAAAAAGAGTGTTGGAAGGAACGGATTTGGAGTGCGGGTGGGAGAGTGTCACTTGATGTAAATAATTATTTCGGGCCTGGTGATCTTAGAAGCTGTATTCAAATCTAAAAGCATATTGACCGTTCAAAATCACTGGTTACTTTTTATTTAGGAATTATTAGGCTTACAATGAAAAATAAAATGTTTCCTTTCTGAATAGCTCCTCAAGAAATACTTAACGCATGTGGATGTATATATATATATATATATATATATATATATATATATATATATATATATATATATATATATATATATATCTATATCTTTATGAAACATACCTGCTTTGACTTATATATACATTTTTCAAGACATATGAACCTTACATTGGTTTCTGTCAGTAATATGTGTGTGCGTATATATATATATATATATACATATACTTGACTCTCCCGTCAAATTAGACATATGAGGGTCAAGCAGCTCATTTCCTAGGAACTGACAGCCCAGACACCAGCACATATGATTTGATTATAGTGGTGAAGGCTTTGTGCAGAACCAACCACACTTTTTGAAGGGCCAAATTCAGAGACTTGGTGCACTAAGTGCCACAAGGTCCCCAAACGACCTTCCGCAGGTTTTGAATTCAGAGTTGTCCTTCTCCTAGACCAGTTGCCATCCAAGGCTATAGAACCCAGTCTGTCCTGCTATTTACCCTTAGCTGGAGGGAGAAGAGAATTCATACCTTTCCTAAGGGTATTAGTACTTAAGTGAATGTAATGGATTCGACTGGAATTTCTCAATCCAAGCCGTTACCCATTACTCCACCGTGCCTCCTTTTATATATATATATATATATATATATCCAGCTCAACATAACGTTGCTAAGGAGTTATTCTCATCATCATAATGATGAGCTTTCATCTGTAGAAGGCTAATAGAGATAGTTTGTTCAACTTTCCCTACTTTTTTAAGCCGTGGCTTTACATGTTGCAACTTGTCGCTCCAAAGTAAAATCTCTTTTTCAGTTCTCTGCTTTCACTCTCTCTGATCACCCCTTTTCTTTCTCTCTCTGATCACCGCTTTTCTTTCTCTCTCTGATCACCGCTTTTCTTTCTCTCTCTCTGATCACCGCTTTTCTTTCTCTCTCTGATCACCGCTTTTCTTTCTCTCTCTGATCACCGCTTTTCTTTCTCTCTCTGATCACCACTTTTCTTTCTCTCTCTGATCACCCTTTTCTTCTCTCTCTGATCACCCCTTTTCCTTCTCTCTCTGATCACCACTTTTCTTTCTCTCTCTGATCACCCCTTTTCCTTCTCTCTCTGATCACCACTTTTCTTTCTCTCTGATCAGCCCTTTTCTTTCTCTCTCTGATCACCCCTTGCATTTTTCTCTCTCTCTCTCTCGGATCACCCATTTCCTTTTTCTCTCTCTCTGATCACCCCTTTCCTTTTTCTCTCTCTCTCTCTGATCACCCCTTTCCTTTTTCTCTCTCTCTCTCTCATCACCCCTTTCCTTTCTCTCTCTCTCTCTCTCTGAACATTTTGCTTTCTCTCTCTGAACATTCCTTTGCTTTCTCTCCCTCTCTCTGATAACCCCTTTTGCTTTCTCTCTCTCTCTCTGATTACCTCTTTTGCTTTCTCTCGCTCTCTCTCTCTGATTACCTCTTTTGCTTTCTCTCTCTCTCTCTCTGATTACCCCTTTTGCTTTCTCTCTCTCTCTGATTACCCCTTTTGCTTTCTCTCTCTCTCTGATTACCCCTTTTGCTTTCTCTCTCTCTCTGATTACCCCTTTTGCTTTCTCTCTCTCTGATTACCCCTTTTGCTCTCTCTCTCTCTCTGATTACCCTTTTGCTTTCTCTCTCTCTCTGATTACCCCTTTTTTTTTCTCTCTGATTACCCCTTTTTCTTTCTCTCTGATTACCCCTTTTTCTTTCTCTCTCTCTCTCTGATTACCCCTTTTTCTTTCTCTCTCTCTCTCTGATTACCCTTTTTCTTTCTCTCTCTCTCTCTGATTACCCCTTTTCTTTCTCTCTCTCTCTCTGATTACCCAAGGCAATTGCTTTCTCTCTCTCTCTCTGATTACCCCTTTTGCTTTCTCTCTCTCTCTCCTGATTACCCCTTTTGCTTTCTCTCTCTCTCTGATTACCCCTTTTGCTTTCTCTCTCTCTCTGATTACCCCTTTTTTCTTTCTCTCTCTCTCTCTCTGATTACCCCTTTTGCTTTCTCTCTCTCTCTCTGATTACCCTTTGCTTTCTCTCTCTCTCTCTCTGATTACCCCTTTTGCTTTCTCTCTCTCTCTCTGATTACCCCTTTTGCTTTCTCTCTCTCCTGATTACCCCTTTTTGCTTTCTCTCTCTCTCAATTACCCCTTTTGCTTTCTCTCTCTCCAGTTACCCCTTTTGCTTTCTCTCTCTCTCTCTCAGAAAGATAGTTTTTGCTTTCTCTCTCTCTCTCTCTTGATTACCCTTTTTGCTTTCTCTCTCTCTCTGATTACCCCTTTTGCTTTCTCTCTCTCTCTGATTATCCCCCCCTTGCTTTCTCTCTCTCTCTGATTAAATGGTGCTTTCTCTCTCTCTCTGATTACCCCCCCTTGCTTTCTCTCTCTTTCTGATTACCCCCCTTGCTTTCTCTCTCTGATTACCCCCTTTGCTTTCTCTCTCTGATTACCCCTTTTGCTCTCTTTCTCTCTCTGATTACCCCTTTTGCTCTCTCTCTGATTACCCCTTTTGCTCTCTCTCTGATTACCCCTTTTGCTCTCTCTCTGATTACCTTTGCTCTCTCTCTCTGATTACCCTTTTGCTCTCTCTCTCTCTCTGATTACCCCCCTTGCTTGCTTTCTCTCTCTGATCACCCTTTTTTAAATTTTTTTTCTCTCACTCTGTCTCCTATTTGCTTTTTTTTTTTCTCTCACTCTGTCTCCTATTTGTTTTTTCTCTCTCTCTCGTATTTTCTCTCTCACTCTTGACTTTGCTTTCTCTATCTCTCTCTCTCTCTCTCTTTGCTTTCTCTCACCCATTTCTTCTCTCTCACTCACCCCTCTCCACACTTTTTCATCTGCCATCAATTCTGGTTGGTTGCCCAGCAATGATGCATATATTAAAGAAAAGAAATACTAGCAAATCATGGAGTGGTTGTGGAAGGGTTTCCACCCAGTCACCTCATCCCCCCCCCCACAATGTCTATGCCCCCTGCTCCACCCTTACTCGTTTCCAAAAATGATTTCCACTGAACTCTTGTAGTATTGCTTTCTCTTCCTTCCTTGCAAATTGATGAGGAAGTGAGAAAATCAGAAACTTAGTTATTGGAAAACACGTGCCATAAACCTGAGATCAATAGTTTTTCTTCCGTCTTCTCAACAGAGAAGCAGGTGCTCAAGAAGATGAGGATAATTTTTTTCTTTCTCTTTTTTTTTGTTGTGTCAGATGAAGCAAGGAAGAGATGATGTCTTGTCAGCAATCTGGCAATCATAGTGAAAGAATGAATAATGAATATAGCCAAATACACCTGATTTTATGGCTCACTGACTCCTCTATAGCGGTCATACGATTCTCTTCTATTTTTTTAACCAGACTTGACATTTTCCACTGACATGAAGTGGGACACTTTTATTGAATCGGTCTTTTGCTAGAAATTTCGTTCACTGTGTTGTGCTATCAGTTTTTCTTGCCAAAATCTATTTTTCACATTTCTAAGTCTACTTTTTGTCCTGATATTGAATATTGCTGCTGCATCTTGTCTGCTGCTTCTGCCATGCATCTAGAGATTCTTGACAAAACCTGAAAAAGAATCTGCAATGTTACTAGGCCTGGCCTGGCATCTTGTCTTCAGTAAGCTTCCCCCCTGCTCTAATGTTGCTTCCCTGTACTTTTTCTACAAATATTTTCATGGTAATTGTTCAGATAAGCTTTCCCCTTTGGCATCTCAACTTTACGAATTTAAACGCAGTACTTGATTGGCAACTAGGTCTCATAATCTCACTATTAAAACTGCTAGATATAACCATAAGTTCTATTCTAATAGTTTCTTCTCTCCCACTTCTCACCTGTGGAACTCTCTTCAGGCTTTTTGTTTAACTGTCACCTTTTTTTAATGTGCCAGACCCCAAAAAACCTTTAACTTTTAGCTGATTATTGGGAATCTAGAGCAGTGGTTTTCAACCTTGTTGCTGGAGCGGAACCCCAAGGAAACATTTCAGTGGCTCGAGGAACCCCAGCAATAAATTGTCTTATGCAAAAAAAAATGCTTTCAATTATTAAAATAAAATAAAAATACTCATCTTCAGATTTATTTACAAAAAAAATACAAAGACAAACTGTAAAAATATTGTATACGTACATCTGCAATTTTAATCTTGCTTCTACGGTTATTACACATGTATTAAAAAACTTCAGCTTAAATGGATTACATTTATTTTCATTAAAAATTCAATGAGAAATCAAAACCAAATTTTCTGACAAAATTTCGAAAATGTTCGAAGGGATTAAAAAATTTTAAAAAATAATTAAAAATTACTTTGATCTTTCCTCTTAATAAAAATATAAACATTTTGATGGAAAAAAGTTTGTTTTATTAAGTTTGGGAACTTTTTTTATTCATACTATGCTGTTTTGTTATTGAATTAGTGGAGGTACCTAAACACACATATCTGCACAGGAGAATTAAAAATTACTGTCAATCATAGTACTTGTGTAACTTCTTGTGGAACCCCTGGGCTTTACTCGTGGAACTCTAGGGTTCCGCTGAATCATGGTTGAAAACCACTGATCTAGAGGTTGACCTATAGTGTGTGGGCCTGATGATTGTGCTTAACATGAAGCCAATTGTTGCCTCTGGGTGTTGACATCAATGTCCACTATATATATATATATATATATATATATATATATATATATATATATATATATATATATATATACACACCCACACACTTCTAAGTTAAAAGCCGCACTATTGGGTGGCATTTAAGCTAGCTCCTGGGAGGGGTCATTGATTTAGGCCTCCATCACAATAAGTAGAGAGAGGTGGATGTGATAGGCAACAATAAACTAGAGAACTCAAAATTGATAGCTGCATTTAAGTATTGCATTATTATTTAAGCTTATCTCTTAAAAGTTTAACGATAATTCTTCTGCCTCTACTTAATTTAAAGACAATTTGATGTAGCTAAGGCCTTACTTTCTGTACAAACAATTATTTTTATTTCCAAGTTATAAAAATTATCATATAAAAAAAATTTGTTGGAAAAAAATCATTAAAAAAATTGCCAAAAACAATTGCAATAATGAAAACTTTGGAATCACACACACAAAGCTGATCGCAAAGTATCTGAACTGGTGCTATAAAAAGACAACACATATCAATTCAACATTTAACCTTGATCTAGCTGGAGGCGAAAAATTGTCACTCGCATTGCATCTGTAGATGCATTCTGTCATCTTGAGAGGGTTGCTACAAATATTTCCGGTATTTTAAGCTGGAAATAGCTTACTACCGCTTTGGAACAAGGCTAAACTTCCATTTTCTGACACCATTCTGAATTCTTCTACACTCTACTTGAAGTACAACATTGATTAAACCCGCGTTAATTTTGTCGCATTTTCTTTTGTAAACAAAAATGCCTGCATCAACATTCAACGAAGCTTTTATTCAGGAGCTTTTCTTTATTGACGGTCATGTAGTCGGAGATGAGTGATGATAATGATGCTAGTGACTAGGAGGAAAGTTTTGATGACCACTTGGTGCCCAGCAGCTACTATTGACCATGGCTGACTAATTTTATGGAAACTACTGGCTCCATCGATATACCTGATAGCCTTTCTGAAGGTGAATTATTTTGTCTATTTATAAACGATGAAATAATAACTTTATTTGTCAACGAGACAAATATGCTTATCAGGTAAAGGAGCAAACAAATACCGTCACTTTTGATGAAATGAAAGCCTTCGGAACCATTTAGCTTCTTATTGCACCCCAAAACTCAACAAGGAGTAATAAACGTTAAAGTATGTTAAATCGTTCATGTGTTTAAGATATTTATTTTTTCTCTTCTGTTTCTTTTCTTTTTGTTTTCCAAAACATAATGCATTATATCAAAATATTACTCACTAGCAGCATGGCCCGGCGCTGCCTGTGCTTGATTCGAAAATCGTACGACTCATACAGCAATCGCTATCACTTGACTTAAAATATTTTTGCCCTTCCTTGCCTTTAAAGGAGTGCCCTTTACCATGCTGATGTTGCTATGTGCCTTACTTCTTGCCTATCTCACACTGCAAATTTTTTCTAAGCTCTATACTAAACATTAAATTCTTATAACTTTGTATTGTGCATATAGATTTTATTTTTTGTACACTAATAAAAGAATGAATCTCTATCTATAAAAGGCAGAATGTGTGTGTGTGTGTAACAAATGCATCGCCACAATTTCCGACGGATTTGCACCAAAATTTACATGCACATGCTCCACGTTAGCGGGAAGGCCAAGACCGACTTTGCATTTCCCAACTCCCATCGATAGTGGAAATAATCGATTTTTTTCATGCTTCTACAGCAGTTTTCATGTAGTTTGCGGCCATTTTCTACTGGCCAGA